GGGGGGGGGGGGGGCAGACAGTGGCTTTTAGTTCCATCTTTACCAGGAAATGATCCGTCCATGACAATGCAGAGGTCTTTATGATCTCCACCCACTGATATTCCTGTTCTGTACTAAAAGCTGCATCAAGGGTATGACCCGCACAGTGTGTGGGCCCGTCAACCAATTGGGATAGGCCCATGTTTATCATGGTATCCATGAACTCCCAAGCCACACCAGTTAGATCTTGCAAGCTGGTCTCGAGTGGAATTTTGAAATTGCCCAGAGCCAAGAGTCTGGGCGACTCCAACAGCAACTCAGAGACCAGGGTGGTCAGCTTGGTTAGGGAGTCTATTGGACAATGGGGTGGCCAGTATATACTAACAGAAGCCCCAAACTATCCCTGGTTTTCAGGCTAAGGTACATACACTCGATGCAGGTTGTTTTCCGGATAGGCTTCCTGGTCAAGATGAGGTTGTTTCTGTGAACGAATGTCACACTACCCCCCCGCCCACTTTCCCTTGTCTGCTCACTGACTGTGTACCCAGCTAGGAGAGCCTGCACCCAAGTAGCGGTGCTAGCATCTCCCAGCCAGGGCTCGGTAAAGCAAGCCAGGTCGGCCGCCTCATCCACTATAAGATCGTGGATGATGTGGGTCTTGTTTTTGACTGACCTGGCATTGCAAAGGAGCAGAGTAAGGGTCTGTGGTGTGATTGGTACACTCTCCAAGTTATCCTGGGAAACAGAGTGAACTGAAGAAGGGATAGGTATTAAGCATCGATCCCTTCTTCTTTCGTAAATTTTTCTTCACTCTGTTGCCACCATACATTTCCTGCCTCCACACAACCTCAATGCCCGCTCCCAGACTGTTCCCAGCTCCATTATGTGATGGCTTTGGTGGGTGCTCCAGCTAGTTCCCACCCCCTAATATATGGGCAATGTCTTACAAAAGAAGGAAGGGCGGGAGGAGAGAGGGCAGGAGGACTCTTCTCAGGTTGTAGCTTCTTTCCAGTCCTAGCAATTTGTCTGCTGTTAACATTGTAAAGATTTAAAGGAACAGTTCTTATTTCAGCAGCTGTTCTACTAGTAACAATGTTAATGCTTGTCTCACCCAACTCCCCTCCCTCAAGTCCTTCAGTAGCTCATGCTGCAGCTGTGTCTGCTTTAATCTGATTGGAGGGGGGGATAATGTTCCCAATTCAACACCCCACTTATGTACACGTGTCCTCCAAGTGACATTGGCTTTGCCTCCCCCGCCTCGCCCAGGTGTTAGATGTTTGACTCCCTGTGGTCCGTTGGAGGGCCGATCTCCCTGGCGGGGTTTTTATCCCACAGCGATGCTCCTCCCGGTTCCTCTTGGAAGACAGGCACAGGCTTCCCAGGTGGTGTCAATTGGGCTCCCTAGTCGCCTTGCCAGCCCCAGATGCTGCCTCTCTGCCTCAGGAGTCTGTTGGAGGGCCAATCTCCCTGGCGGGGTTTTTATCCCCTGCCTATGCTCCTCCTGGTTCCTCTTGGAGGACAGGCACAGGCTGCCCAGGTGGTGGCAATTGGGCTCCCTAGTCGCCTTGGCGGTCCCAGACGCTGCCTCTCCACCTCAGGAGAGCTTTTATATATATTTTTCTTTTCCATCTGCCTATCATTTTGAGTTCCATATCATGGGATGGCAATTGGGTCTGTCCAGAAAGCCATATGCATGTTAATTTTATGCACTTCCAAACTGAGAATTTCATGAATCATTACTGTACAAATCCAAGAACAAAATGTATTCACTTGACCTTTGAGTCTATTCCACATTCTTCAGTCCCTGTGTACCTATTTCCAGGCAAGTGACTGCATATTTTTCAAATTTAAACAAAAGTTTTGGCCCTGGGAAAACAATGTGAATATTAAATTAGTGGATACATGAATGTTTGACAGTCTTCATTAGCCTCAAGCAAATTCAGTGTTAAGGTACAAATCAGAATCCTTGTATGTTCATAATATGATAAATGTTTAGTACAGATAGTTGTCATGTTGCCTCCAGAGAATAATTTGTAAAGTGAAGTATGGCATTAGTTTCAGCATTTATTTCATCACTTCTGTGCAAAACTGATGGCCTTCATCTGCTGTTTAAACCTATGTACTAATAAAGTAGAATGATGAATGAAAGCAGTCTCTTGAATCCTGTCAAAAACTCCACCTACCCCACAGGCTTCAATAATGAAGTGCCTCCATTCACACTTGCAGCCCACAAGTCAGGCCAAAAGGGAAAGGCACAGAGATCTGACCATTTCCTATATACCTTATTTTCCTGCGTATAAGACTACTTTTTTACCTGCAAAATCTGTGGCTAAAGTGGGGGGGGGTCGTCTTATACGCCAGATATAGGGATAATGAGGATAGAGGTGTTAAAACTATATTTTGACTGGAAAAATGGGGGGGTCGTCTTATACACGGGTTGTCTTATACACCGGAAAATACGGTATATATCCCTCCCACAGCTCCTGTGGCTGCAGTAGCTGAGTGGTTAAGACACCAACTCTGATGACCATAAGGTCGGAAGGTTGGCAGTTCAAGGCCCAAGTGCCGCATGATGGGGTGAGCTCCCATCACTAGTCCCAGTTTCTGCCAACCTAGCAGTTTGAAAGCATGCAAATGCATGCAGATAAATAGGTATCATTTTGGTGGGAAGGTAAATAGCGTTCAGTGCAGTCATGATCACTGAAGTAGTCCTTGGACAATGCTGGTTCTCTAGCTTAGTAACAGGGATGAGCACCACCCCCTACAATTGGTTATGACTAGACATTTATGCCAAGAGAAAACCTTTACTGGTGAATGGCCATTTGACCAGAACAAGGTTTGTTGCTAACTGACCTTGAGTTGACCATCACTCATGGTGACCCTGTGGATAAGACAACTCAAAGACCTGCTGTCCTCAACTGCTCTGCTCAGGTCCTGTAAATTCAGGCCCATGAGTATATTTTTATCTGGTGTGTGTTCTTCCTTGCTTTTTTCTACATTCTACCTTCCCTAGCATTATTGTTTTTTTTCTAGTGAGTCATGCTTTCTCATGATGTTGCCAAAGTACGACAGCCTCAGTTTCATCTTCTTGACTTCCAGGGAGATTTCAGACTTGATCTATACAAGGACCCATTTGTTTATGTGTTTTAACTACCGTATTTTTCGGCATATAAG